ATCGATGTGACCAGTGGTTACGAGGTCATGATGGACATTAGGATCTGTCACCTGAAGAAACCAAGAACAACAGCATTGGAATATTGGTGTGTTTTACATGGTAGCATTTAATTAATTAAGGGATACAATACAACGCACGACCGCATGTCTCTGTACTGTGATATAAACACGCTGGGAGCTGTAGAGCACGAGAGAAAAAACCTTGAAAAACACGAAGCGTAGCTACTATAAATCACAGTACAGAGACATAATCAGCCTGGTTTTTTTTTGCTTTTATATGATATTGTTGGACAACCTTACGCGAGCCTGTCTCTGTCCTCTGATATAAACAAGGAAGTTAGCTTATCAGCGCGCGCGTTATTTTTCAAATATTTTATAATAATCAAAATAACCAAATGTGGAAATCTGATTTCGTCCAAAGAAAAAGTGTTGAACAACAAAACGTACCGTCCCAATGGAACAGAGAATAGTGTTCCTCATGATGGATGCCAGGTCGTCCAAGAACTCRATGGAAGTGGCCCAAGGATCCATGCAGGTTGTAATGATGTACTTAACTCCTGTTGTGTCATAAGGATCGACCTGTATATATGGACAGAGCCGGGGAAAGAGGAAGGTGAGTGATTTATTGAATATACCAGGCAAAAAGTTCGTCGATCAAGTAAGTAAAGGTTATCTGCAAGTCCACAAYGAGAATGAAAAGCCATCAATMTACCTTCCGSTYMTGACYGGATSATATGYGAGTTGAGTTTGTTTGATGTGTTGTTCTCTCCTATGCTAYGAGGGTTTTCTCCGGGTTCTCCGGTTTCCTCCCTCCGTAAAAATCAACATAGAATGTAGTTGTAGTGTGTGAAAGGAACATCACGGAAGATACAAGTTATGTATATACTTCCATACAAATTATTAGAAAACGTTATCTGTAAGTCCACAACGAAAAGCGCTCGCGTACGTTGCGGCGGWTACTTCCATACGAGAGGTAAATCGTTATCCGCAAGTCAACAGTGAGAAAATAATAAGCGTTCMTTGCATGYATGTCTCGGCGGATACATCCRCGAAAGAAGCAACATTGGACAACGCTTTTGTGTAGTTATTTTGCTAGAATTTTGCCGATGAAATCAAAGACAAAACTCACTGAAGATAAAACGTTTTGAAAACAAAACTTACACCCAGTCGTTTCTTGAGCTCCTTCAATGCAGTACTGTGAGGATGATGGCCATAGGTGGACGCGGTCACCAGCATCGGGAATCGGAAAGCACTAACCCTGTCATCTGACATGCAAAGATCTTTGAACACGGCCTGGACGAYATCGTTGAGTTTATTCACATCAGTGTTGCCCTTGATGTTCAAGGTGAAACAAGGAACCATTGTATCTGGACCAACTTCACGRAGATACTCCATCACTTTATCATTCTGTATGGAACACGAATCTAGTTTTAAAAGTTGAATAACATGAAGTATACATTACTTAAATCAAACATACCTCTGCCAATTCCTCATTCGTTTTTCCAATAATGTGTTTTTTGATGAATTTTATGTGTTCTTCACGGGTACGGCCAGGGGGCAGAGGTTTGGTGGGAACGACAAAGAAAGGGTCGTCCTTCTCAGCGAGAGCGGTCCAGTAGCAATAGAGTAGCTTAGACGTGAACATGCATTCACCAAGAATCCTTCCATAGCCATTCTTATGCAGACCAATCACCTATTCAGTCGAAAGTAAAGAAACAAAATCGCTATCTAATAGATTTTTAAATGGTCAAGGCAGTGTGTTAAAATAATTACCCTGTGTGCCATAACAACCCCAGCAGCAGCTGCTCCAGGTTTAGATCCTTCAATACCAACATCTCCAAGATTCAGTGATCCATGGTAATAGGTAACCTGGTTAGTGATGCTCRAGAAGCCATTCATTCGCCTGTCACGATAACAGGTAGCACCACCAGGGTAGGGACAGAAACCACTTTTGTGTGGATCAATGGTGATGGTATCGACGTTTTGGATCGCTGACAGTTGAGCGTGAGTATGATAATTGAGAGTGAGCTCAGGCACAAACCATGACGAATTTTCACTTGTTTGGGCCAATGGAGTTGGTGGAGTTCGTAACATGGTACAGAAGTATCCTCCYCATGCTCCATCTGCATGAATCATGAAGTCCAACCCCTAAGAAAAAGATAATGATGGCAGACTTCAGTGACCACAAATTTGACAATACGAACCGTGTGGATCRAATGACATGAAAATCTGAAGACGTTATCAAGATTAAAAATACTGACTCACCCGTGCCCTCATTTCTTCGCGGACCTCAAGAATGTCTACGAGTGGGTCTACAGCACTCTCTTCAGTGGTACCCATCACTGCTACTACGCTGACGACAGGGATTTGATTGGCCAGCTTGTCTTCCAAGATGTCTCGCAAACCTGCATTTATACAAACAGCAAATGAGTTTAAAAACGTTGGAATATCTTCATTGATTATCATCCAATATACCAGTTAGTCACGTGAAAGACCTACCCTTGACGTCCATTCTAGCATTCTCATCGACGGGGACCATCACTAGATTCCCTTTGCCTACTCCAAGCATGGTTGCTCCTTTAAATATAGAGACATGGGCCGTGGTAGGTGCAAGAGAGCAGGGGTTGTTTTTAAGATTGTGACGTTGACAGAAGACTTGGGTACCAATAGACTCGTACGCATATTTGGACATTATGCCCAGCAAGTCTGATTCACTGATGGCACACATGGCACTGACCTGTATTTAGAAAGATAATTTTGGYTATTCTTATTCTCACTAATTATTGTGTTGGTTGCTTTGGATGTCTTTGCTTTGTCTCCAAACAGCGTTGTTTTTACTTTACCTTCTCAGGCAATGCCACAATCGTATCTGCTTTCAGATTCAGAAGTTCCCAGCTCGTTGCATCCACAATCTTCACGTCTTGTTTCTTAGATGGTAGATTAACCGTGAGTTCCCTTGCCTTTTGAAGAACGTCTTCGTTTTTGATAGCATCTTGTAGACCCAAGGGGTAATACTTAATGTTGCGAGCAGCCCACATAGACTCGATGTTAGCTACGGTACCTCCAGTGACAAGATGACCCATGGCCTTGTCGGGATCGAAGCCTACCATCTTGCAAAGATCCAAGCCCACTTCTACTTCATACTTGGTAGTCACGGTGGAGGCTTCAGCAGCGCAGTTGTTTTGGTTAAACATCAAGGCAGTGATGTAACCAAGATTTGCAGGCATGACGGTATCCCATGTCACGTGACCCTAATGTAACAAAACGTGTAAAAATAGGTAAAATATTTTAGAATGACATCATGCACGAAATCGTCGCCACTGATCAAAGTCAAGGGCCACTGGGATATCAGTATAATTATTTAAATTATAACTGTCATGTGCTACCCGCATGAAATAAAGTTCTTTCAATACCTTGTAACGAGAACTAAAGAAAGGTACAGCTTTAACGAGCTGTTTCTGCATATCCTGAAGCTCGTCATCAATTTTCTTCATAGCTTCTTGGAATGATTCTGATTGGCGCATTTCATCTGTGACGTAGGGTGGGTCACAGGGAAAATAGCTGAAGGGAAAATCRACATGTGATTTGAGTTCGTACGTGACAAATATTCGTATCAGTGAGCGTTTGTGAATGAGTTGGACATCCTTTCATAAACCTTTTTTTTTTTCTCCTGAGAAACAGGACCTTCCGACTTCAAATTTCTTAATTTTCTTTTTTTAAATTGTCCTGCCTTTTTTGTATATTTATGTGGTTTTTGAGAATACACCCATTCAACTTGGGCGCACAACAAGATCTTTATGTTTGAATCACGTCTATACTAATGTATCTTCTCRCACAGCTAAAGAAAGGAACTATGCTAAAGAGTACGACTTGTGCACGCCTTGCGAAGAAAACATTTCATGAAACCCTCTTTTAGGAAAAAAAATAGCTCAATAGGGCTTTTATTCCCTTTACAAAAGTATTTAATCAGTTGCCAAATTTGTTTCGGCTAATGATTCAGTGGTGGCACATGAGCATCCGTTCATTCAACATTACTAGGGGAAGGGGGWTAGAGAAGAAAAGCTTCTTTCTATTGGAATTGGGCTTCTTGGTTGATCAGGTATCATGGTATTTTTTATTCGCCAATTGTAGAATTAATTATAGAATTATGAGGCTATATATATATATATATATATATGTATTTTTATTTTTATACTTCTAAGCTTAAGATTTTTTGGTGCTCTCAAAAGAGATAATTTTTTATTATTGATTTATTATTATTGATTTATTATTATTATTATAGAAAAAAAAAACTTGAAATCTTCAGAATGCTTTAGATAAAAATACAGAATGGAAACAAGAAAAAGTTTTTCGAGTGGAAATATTAGAGGATGGGATTACAAAAATAGAGAGTTTTAGATTGACTTTTTTTTCTCCCCGCAAACGGCAAACGTGACCACGTTTTCATAGTTTTTGTGTATTTTACTTTACCTTTTACAAACCTTCTCACCAAGCACAAATACTCTTTTGTTTTTTTTCTACTACATGGACTTTTTTGCGATTCTTTTTCAGTAATTTAAAAGAATTTTTTACTGGTCAACTGACGTTTCACGTTTGCCGTGAACGTAAATCTAAAACTCTCTAATGGCTATGTTTAATCGCGAGGGGCCGGATCAGGAGGGGCGTTCAAAAACTTCATATCTATTTCACGAATCTTTCTGCCTAATTGTCATGGTAAGGTTAGGTATTTTATTTGTTACTGACCCCGAAACAATAATAGGGCTTACACACACTTATCCTGTCAAAGGATMTTTTGTTCTCTTTTATTGGTTTTGATGAAAGGATTCGTTACTGCATAAAATATTCACAAAAGGGTGGTGAATAAAAGCTGTAAAAAAGAAAGAAACGAAAAAACAGCCCAAACCAAGCAATCGGCAACTTAAGGTGGCTGGACCCCCTCAYGCTTGACCGCTACCTTCCACTTTTGGAACGCTGGTGCATAAACGTGTTTTATCCGATTGCAAATCTTTTTTGCACATAAGTCACATAAAGATTGAAT